AATGTCTGAGTGTTTGCCTGTGTAAATAAGGCAACCAGACATGCAAATTTTTATGAAGGAAAACAAAATGCAAAAAAAGAAAAAGATATTATGTTAAGGGGGGGGCCTCATGAATTTGAACTAAAGTTTGAGAATTTGGACTTTGAGTTTCTTTTTACTCTTGGTTCTGAACCTGTGGTTGTTCCTATTCTTATTGCTTATCTGGGAACTAAAATAAACGTGCATATTTCACATAATTCATATCTTAAATCTAATCATTATCATTCCAAATGCAAGCACTTTTGTCTGTTGTTGCTGTTATTGTTGTGTGTGTGTGCATGTTTGCTGCTGGGGAGGGAACCCAGAGTCTTACACATGCTCAGCAAGCACTCTACCACTGAGCTACATCTCAGCCTCACCAGTTTCTTTTATATACTATGGTAGATTGTGTTGGTTAGTTCTCATGGAAAACATGAATGATGAAACTATTCAGACAAAAAGTTATCAGCATTGACATTTCTTCTATGAAACAAGTCCGGATGCTACCATCCTAGTTAAATTTTCCTGCACTGACTTGGTTTTCAGGTGCTCTGTCTTTCTAGTTTCATCAAGTAATTTTTGCTAAGGATGTAGAGAGTGGAATGATAGCTCTATTTCCACTTGCTTTACAACATTTTGTTTCCAGTACATATCACCTTGCAATGTGTTCCTTCATGGCACATTACATGATCATTAAATTAAAAATAAGTGTGGTTTATGATTGACTGCTCTGTAATTACCCAGAGTGTTTGTTAAAGACAGTAGGCAGGAGACATAAGCTCCATTTTGCTGTTATAGTGACTGTCAAGGTTATAGCACATCTCTGTTAGCATAAAAAAAAACTCCTCTAACAAGGATGTTTAGTGGAGCAGACCTTTCCCAGCAGAAAAATCTCCTCCCACTAGAATAAACAGTGAAGAAAATGAGCTAATGATCAAAATGTGCTCATTCCATGCCTTCAAAATAAGAACCATAACTGGTGTCAGTGTTGCTCAGCTTGTTTTTCATAATTGAGACATTTTAGACCTTTTTCCCAAGAGTTCTCCCATAACATTTTAACACCTTATACGTATTGTTTATCTGTGTTTGTACTGTAATCCTTTGGATGTCCACAAACCATTGCAATATCTCAAATTGTAATATCTCAAATTATCTCTCCCCACTAAGAACATACATGCCTTGCTAAGAATGCATGTTGTGCTTCTAGTGTACTCTGAGTAAATTCAGATGATCTTTCACCAATTAAAGACTTCCATAGGCAAAAACCACATTATTCTTCTGGAGTATACAACTCAAGTGGGTGTAAGATAGAAAATAGTCTTTTAGTAAGTCATATCTTGCCAACCAAAAGATTGAATCTCAATCTTCTCCTAAAAGTAAGGAGGCTCTAATAATATTAAAGAGCATATGGTTCTCAAGACAAAATGATGTTCACATCAAAAATCTTGCACACATAAATTAAAATCCTCCCACTTACAGAAAAAGGGTCAGGCTTTGATTCCAGAAAGGAAAAGACTGTGAGCTTGTGACAGCTACCATTTCATTTGCTTGTTTATTAGCGCGCAGTTATCAAGACCTGACCATGTACACTTTCGGCTCCATGAGGGCTGGGGCTGTGCTTGGTTTTGCTCACCGTTGTAGAATAAAGGAAAGAGAGAAGGAAAGTAGATAGAGCAGTGTAGGAAGTAACATGAACACTAACTCTTAAGAACATTGTATTTGCTGTGAAGATGGATATGCAAACAAATAAATGAAGGAAGTGTTATTATCACTATAATTAAAAATGTGTGTAGATATAGTGAGATTACAAAGCGATGGTTAATTCTAGCTGGTTGGAGGTTGGAGGGCAAAGGCTACACTAGGACTTTTGTGGTCCCTAAGGCTGTCTTGGCCCCCTTCCATGAAAACGTATTTTAAAATAATATAAATGTAGTAAAAAGAGGTGACTATAAATATCTGGATGCTATATGAGCACATAACCAGAAGGTCCAACAAAGACCTGGACAAGGTCTTTGTCTATTGTGAATAGTGCTGAGGGCTAGATTCTACATAAAAATGACCTTAGGTCAGCTGGGAGCCTGTGGCTCACGCCTATAATCCTAGCTACTTGAGAGGCTGAGATCAGGAGGATTGTGATTCAAAGACAACCTAAGCAAATAGTTCATGTGACTTCCATCTCCAAAATAACCAGAGCAATGCAGACTGGAGGTGTGGCTAAAGCAGTAGAGCACCTGCTTTGTGAGTGCCTTCTTTGCAAGCTCAAGGCCCTGAGTTCAAACCCCAGTCATACCAAAAAAAAAAAAAATCTTAATCCCACGTTGAAAGAGTGGCTAGAGGTGAGGTAGAGGAAACAGCTTATGCAAAGGCCTGGAAGTAAGAGATCTATGGATGATTGGATGAAAAAGATGAAGAGAAGAAAGAGACAGATAGGCAGAGACAGAAACAGAAAGGGTAAGAAATGAAGTTAGAGAGAGAGGTTGGGGGTCGCACCTCAGCAGGCCCTGAGTTAATAATTTGACTTTATTCTAAGAATAACATTAGAAACTGACAAGACCAGTTTGCACTTTGGGAAAATTTTGGGAAGCTGCATTCCAACCAATGGACTGGTAGATATTCTTGGGGCCTCTATATCCCCCCTCTTTATGGCCAGCATATCCATCCCAAATGTTGAGAATATTGGCTATTGAAGGCTCACTACCAGGTCTTTTGATGGGAATTGCACCTAGCCACAGTGACCTTTTGCAAGCCTGGATCCTCCACCCAAGCTGCAAAGTGTTAGCCAGACTGCATTCATGTCTGGACATTTAGCTGGAGAAAAATCTCAACCCAGTTAGAATTTTTTATTAGAATTTATTTCTTGTTGGCTGTTCGTTGGAGGCTGTCTTTGACAACAGTCAATTCCTAAAATGGCCTACAGTTTCTTTTCTATGGACTTTCCCACCATAGCACTTACTGAATCAAGCCATCATAAAAAGTCTCTATTTCAAGTCTACTAGCAAGATCGAATTATTTATAATATAAAGTAATTGCAGGAGTCCAACATCTCATCATCTTTTCTATACTGTATTCCTTACAATCAAGCCACAGGTCTGATACTCACTCAGGGGGAGGAAATTGCACGAAGGTGTAACACCAGAAGTTGGGAATGACAGAGAGAAAACTTAAGAGTTTGCCCTATTTTCAGTGTTAAACATTTTACATGCAATTTTTCATCTTAAAGTCTATATCCAAGGAGCAACACTGGACGAGGTAGAGACTGTTACTATACCCTTAACTGCAAGTCATAGCAATGGGAAAATGAGTATCAAATTGTATTTCCATTAATAAATGCATAATCATTATTGGTAGTACTTAGAATGATACATAGACAATCTGGAAATAAAATCAAGTCTATAATAAAATGAAATTAAATCAAGTATGTCAAAGAGACATCTGCATTCCCATGTTCATTGCAGCACTATTGCAGCCAAGATTTAGAATCGATCTAAGTGTCCATCAGCTGATGAGTGGATAAAGAAAATGTACTGTATCTACTCAACAGAATACTATTCAACCATAAAAGAGTGAAATCCTGTCATTTGCAACAACATGGATGGAACTAGAGACCCTTATGTAAAGTGAAATGAGACAGGCACAGTAAGACAAGTACCACGTGATCTCACTCATGTGGAAGCTAAAGACTTGATCTCCTAGAAGTTGAGAGAAGGATGGTGGTTACCAGAGGCTGCAGACAATAGAGAGGAAGGAAAGAAGGGAAGAGATTGGTCAATGGATACTGAGTAATAATTAAATAGGAGTAAGAAGTTCTGGTGTGCTATTGCAAAGTAGGGTGACTACAGATAACGATAATGTACTATGTATTTCCAAAAACTAAAAGAAAAGATTTTGAATGATTTCATCATAAAGAAATGATAAGTGTTTGAGGAAAGTGCTTTTTTGCTTTTTTTTTCTATTTTTTCCTTTTTTTTTTTTTGGTGCTGGGGACCGAACTCAGGGCCTTACACTTGCCAGGCAAGCGCTCTTCCACTGAGCTAAACCCCCAACCCCGAGGAAAGTGCTAGGTTTAACTTGATCTAAACATTACATGAATACATGTATTGAAACACCCCTTTGTATATGTGCTGATTTATTGAGTATATGCATCATTATATATGTATTTTGTATTACTATGTATGTATTATACACACATAAATCTGTACAGTTTTTATATATCGGTTAAAAAGTAAATTTAAATTAAAAATCGTGTCTAAAAACTACAAGGTGTCTTCAAACAAGGATGCACACATCAAAAATAACTCATGTCTAAGGCTGTAGGTCAGATTAACATAACTAATAAAAATTAGACTCACTGTGTTCCACAGTGTGAAAATAAATCTCAGACCACAGTCACTCACACAATTAAAATGAGGTGATTAGTACTTTTATTAAGCTATCATAGATTGAACTTTTACAAATTACAAATAGTCAACAAATAAATCTCCGTATTAGAGATTGATATTCAGAAAATATACAAGCAATGGTATTATGACAATGGGATAAAATTCTACCCTGTGAATCAACATTCCCATTTTTATCCATTCCATTTTTTACTTTTCTTTATTGAGTCATATACAAAGTAATATAAACAATATTCAAAAAAGATTCATTTTTAATGATTGCTATATCATGTAATAGCTATTCTCCACTGGAAAAAATTATTTTTTCCTAAGGTCTTCAAAGTGATATATATATATATAAATACTTAAATCAATAACTACAAACACATGACTACAGTTACACTCTGTGTTGTCAGAAAAATATTTCAGGATATTTTGAGTAGTCAATGCCTTATGATTTCTGTTGGTTTTGTGGATATAATTGATTGCCTATCACTCTCAAGAACATCCAAATTTTCTTACAAAAGAAGAATGGTGAAACAAAAAATATTATCTTCCCTGGGTATGTTAGGATGCTCATCAGTCAAATAGAAACAAGTATAACCTTCAGAGAGGGGTGAGTCGCTCATCTTCTGTCATAAAGACATCATTAATGTGCCCTCCCTTTGTGTCCAGGGGATCACAGGGGATGCCGTTTTCAATTGTGATTGTGTTTTCACACTTATCTTCTGCATCATCCATTTCTGATGGTCCTTTGTTCTTCCTAAAAGCATATAAAGGAGTCATTGGGATCTAGGAGAAGTAAACATGGTTAAGTATGGTCTTTCTCAAGAAAGGGGCAAACAGACAATAGAAAGAAGCATAAAAACCTTAGAATAATGAAATAATCAGATATTATGTATTTTCAAATAAATGTCAAAGACCATAAACAGTTGGTGAGGTGGAAAGATACTATCAAGATAATTCTGCATCAATGACAAATACACATTGGTTAGAAAAAGTGGTCATATTTAGAACACTGCAATAAATATATATGTATATGAATAAATATATTTCTATGTGTATATGAATGAATATGTGTTTATACACATACATACAAGCATACATATTCACACAGACAAATTTCAAGAAGGAACTGAGGAAAACATATAGTACATTGACGAGTTTAAAATTTTAACTTTAGGAGAACTTAGTAAAAATCAAATTTTAAAAAGTAACAAATTCCTCTCACAGAATTTGACAAATTAATGGTCTACAAGTGTTGAGTGAAAATTAAAGTGAAATGAGATATCACAAAGCAAATTCACATTACTTTGTAGAAAGTAAGTAATTGTTATAAATAGCAGATATCACTGATAGGCTCTACTCATTACAAAATAGTTGTGTTAATTTGTAAGTCAAGTTTTTGGAACTCATAACACATTTTTTAAATTATATTACAACTCACAGTTGCAATTTCAAGTCATTCCAAAAATTCTACATGACAGGATATATATTTGACTTCCTTATATTCTGACCCTCTGTAGATCCTTCTACCCCAACTCAAGTGGTAACCAAATCCTTAATGTTTTCTTGGAGTGTGAAAAGCTGTAGCCTTGAAATTGAAAGGTTTTCTTGTCTTTTGTGAAAGACTAAGTCACTGAGCCAATTATGCTTCACATTATGGGGAAAAAGGAAAGAAGAGAGGTGGTATCTCTAGGCATCCAGAGGGAGAACTCTGGGGCATATCACAGGTAATGTTGGGATACCACTCCTTGGTGGCACCATGGAAGCATGCATGTTAGCCATGTGACACACAGAGTTGCCAAGAATTCTCTTATACCAAGAATCTGTGCACCTTCAAAGAGGCAGATCTGAAAGGGATTCCTTGGCTAGGATGCTGAGAACTGCTATGGTGATCAGGAGACTCCCCATCACTGTGGGAGTACCTTAGGACCTTGATGAGTCTCTGACAAGTGAAGAGGTAGTGAAGATTCCTTTATGATGATCAATATGGAACCTGTAAGTCCTTCAGGAGAGGTATTTTTAATGTGTTCTAAAGAATACGGTAGACAAAGGGGGAGAAAAGAGAGAGCTCTTCTTTACAGGAGAATTCCAGCAAGTATAGAAAGAGTAGTAAAACTCATCACTGCAATAATAATTGATTCTGATGAAGCTCGTCAATGAGTACAAAACAACAAAGAGATGGTTAGAGAACAGAATATACACATGGTCTCGAAATGTCACCCCCACATGCAATATATTAATTTCAAAAAGGCACTTGTATTTTGTCAAGGGGGCAATATGATGGACACTACCAACAATCAGACAAATTGACAAGTGCTTCCAGATGGACAATGAGAAAAGCCCAGATATATGTTTTCTTTTCTTGACCCCTTCAATTTTTAACTGAAAGTCATAATGAGGCGCTAATCAGAAAAATCCAAATTTAAAGATATTTTGTAAAACAACTGACCTGGACTCAGACCAGAGTGGGCACCCAGCTCAAAGGATTGATGAATCAATGAATGTAGATCAGTGGCTGGCTGGCTGGATAACAAAATAATGGATGGATGGATGGATGGATGGATGGAGAATGGATGGGTAGTCAAACAGATGGATGGACAGGCGGATGACAGATAATTGAAAAAATGATTGAATAGATGGATACACACGATCCCACTTCTTGTGGTAGTGGGATCTACCACAAGAAGCAGAAAGAAGAAAAGATGGCCAGGCATAGTAGCCCAGGCCCATAATCCCAGCAGTCGGGAGGCAGAGGCAGGAGGATTGTGAGTTCAAGGTCAGCCTGGGTACATAGCAAGACACTGTTTCAAAAAAAGAAAGAAAGAAAGGAGGATATATGTGTATATGAAATTTCTCATATCTCTTGTGTTTTCTTTTAATAAATAGGAGGAAATACTCATTTTCCTACCTTAGGGATTAGGGACTTAGTATGGATTTTGCCAGGCTTCATGGATGGTTTATTAAATAATTTCAATCAGTTAATGTTTAAAAAGTAAAATAGCATTCCAACAATGTAGATTCCAATGTCATTATTTGAAAGTATTTTAACATTGTATATGCTATCATCAAATGTCACAAGTGAAACTATAGGCAATCACTAAATTGAAGTCATTGAATTTCAACAATTAATTCATAAAACTTTTGGTCCAGATAAGCACCTGTGTCTTCCCATCCTCAGAGTGAAGACACTTTACTGGCCATTCCAAACATGAACAATTAGTGATCAGCACAAGTTGGGGTACACTAGAATTTAATGTGTTGAGAGTGTCTTCCAGCCAGGTTAAAAAAAAACCACTGAAAGACTAGAACACTTCAGCTTTTCCTCCTTTGGAAAGGAATATCATCACTTTCCATGCCATTCAGAAAGCAAAAGCAATTGACATTCTACAGCCATCAATAACATCACTTCCATTCACAGTTTCCAACATTCCTTAACAGCTATGCCTTGAGAGCCTACTGTGTGGATGAGACACAGTATTTCCCCTAAAAGAAAGGACTCAATGCCAGGAAAAAACTCCATATTCACTCCCCCACCCTCTCTTCATTTTTAATGCTTTCAAAAAGAGAGGAATGATTTTTTTCACTGGGATGAAATCCTTGTAGGAAATATATATTTATAAATTATCATCAAAAAGTGTCTAGTTCATGTGAATTCCTCCAAAATCATTCTTCATTGAGCTTGGAATGAATAATAATTTTCCATAACAATAAATACATTTTATCCTGAATTTTGTGTATATAAGCATGAAACCCATTTTACAAAAAATTTAGAGTGGAGCATTTTGAAGTAGGTGCAATGCAATGGTAGTTTTAGAAATAATGGTTGTCAATGTCTATTTGTCAGTTTCTTCAGTAAAAAATGTCTTTATGAAGTTAGAAGAAAAATGATAGAAAGCTGAACATGTGCAAATCAATGCCAGGAATCTTACCAGCCCCAGCCACAAAGGAAAAATAATCCACAAGTTTCACAATGAACGGGGAAAAACTAAAAAGGAACATACAACCAGAGGAAGACAAATGTCTCTGCTTTAGAAGAAGAAGAATTTCCCAAGCCCCCCCCAAAAAAAGAATCTGAGAGAAATTTATCAAATTGAGTTGTGTCAGTGGCAAATTAGGTACTTTTTTTTTTTTTTTTGCGACCTTAGATCCAATTATTCAGAGTCTTGGCATTGCTGGGCTTCACAAAGTGCAATGTCAGTAACTTGCTAGCTGGTAGAAATGATAAGCAGCTCAAAGGTTATCTAACAGTAATATAGCACTTTGTCACATTTAATAATGTGTGCTGTAATAAACTGATTCACTGCCTGTGCATTGCTCTTACTAAGAATAATAAAACTTAACTGTCTTTCTGCATCATTCTGATTTGATGTTCCGCTAAAAACATGAGTTCTTTTTCCTGAAAAGTAAAAATTGAATGTTAATGACTTCCGCCGTTCCTGCAACGTCAGGTAGTTCAGGAAGGAGTTGAAAAACTTGTGACTAAAACTACCTCTTGTGTTATCAGAAAAATATTTTAGAATATTTTAAGCAGTCAGCAGCACCTTATGATTTCAGTGGTCATAAAGATGTCCACTTGAGAATGGATATCTCCAATAAATGCAGGAGAAGAGGGACAGAAGGGAGACATAGAAATCTCAGGTAGCCCTTGTAGTTAGGAGGTATAGAGTAACAGCATTTGTTCTGTTGTGAGATAAAATATTGTTGTCTAAAAGCAGAAAGAATATATCTGTCTCTTCAAACAAAATAGGGCTGAAGAGCCAAAGAAACAGCCAGAGAAACGATAAAGAAAAGACAAATATGACTTTCAAATAGGGCAGAATTAATTATTGGGAACTGGCATTGTCCTGCTAATCGGTTTTGAGTGGGCACCATAGCACAGTGACATTGACAGACTTTGTGGTGGAGTCTATTTGGTTTTAAATCTTGGCATCACAACTTTCTAACCGTGCACCCAAAGGTAAGTTGTTTTATATCCGCCATGTAACAGCAATAATAATGATGATAAGTATCTATTACATGGCAGAAATCAGACTAGGTGTTTTGTATACATTATCTCATCCAATTCTCATTGCAGTACAATGCAGATTTTATTTTTAACCCTGTTTTGAGATGAAGAGACTAAGTTTCAAATATGTATAGCAACTTGCCTTTCAGAATGCAACAGATTGGTGAAAGGAGCTGACCTAGAATTTTATTTTAGTCTCCCTAAGCTCCACCCAAAACACTTACAGTGCTTTCCTATTGGTTATGTAGATTTTAAACTCAGAGAAGGAAAACAATTAACTTTGAAATTTCTCATTTTATTTATGCTTCTATTCTAAAACAATTTATTCATTTAATTAAGATTTCATAAGAATGTAAAGTTTGAATAATATGAAAATGTTGACCGAGTCCTATTTCCTTATGCAAAAAGCAAGGCTTGCGGAAATACAAATGCACTTCTATTTACTATTGGCCTTACAGGAAAAAAAAAGTGTAGCTAGAAACATAGCAAACAAATTTACTAATGACTCTGCTCAGTGAGCATTACCTAGGGTTCTATGTCCTAAGTCCTTAACTTGGCTTGGTTACCAGCTATAAGAGTATAATCTCCTTGTAGGCAAGGACCATTCATGCTATCTATGTTTATCTCTTCCATGATATATACTATAGCTCCTATCACAGAATGGCTGATCAACAAAGAAATAAAATATTTTTACCTCTCTGTGATTTGGTTTCTAAAGGGTTGGATCTAGATAACTGGTAAGGTCCCCTCCT